CACACAGAGACTTCTGGTTCCCCAATGTTCCCAATATGGTTATACCACAAATTTGGTTTCCGACAGTACTGTTGCTTATGACATTATGACTGTATAAACACTGGACACAGTTCATTTAGCTTTCCTGTATAACTTTTTGTTTCCTTTGGTTAATAATTGTTTTGTTTCTTTTATTTGCTTCTTTCTCTCTGTACTTACCACCAGTTCAACTTTAATACTCCATATCCAGCTGTCTAGAGTGACTCTGAATGCTTCCAGAACTATCAGGGGTTCCATCAGTGTTCTTCCCCTGAGTTTGTCTGGAGCCATCTGACCCTCTCCCTTCTGGGTGGATTATCCTCATTCCTGCTCGTGCCTCTGCCATCCTCACATCCTTCACCATTACTCAGGGGATTCCCGCTACTTTCTGCATTGTTGGAGTCCCCATTTGCTTTATGCCATGACTTCTTCCATATTTCACTGGAGCACATTCTTCCAGTACCTAACTAAGAAAGAATGTAGGTCCATGGGAGGTAAATTTTTTGAGATTTTTTTTTAATATCTAGACGTGTTTGTTATCCTTGTCCTAGATGGAGAGTTGAGCTTGGGGTAGAGTTCTAGGATGGACATTTCTTTCCCTTAGACTTTTGAAGGCATTGAGCCATTGTCTTCTGATTTTCAGTTCCTTTTGAGAACTCAATCTATTCTGATTATTGATACCTGGTATCAATTTATTTCTTCTGTCTGTAAGCTTAACCCCCTCCTCCCCTTTATCTCATGCTGTCTGACTTTTCTCCGTGTGCCCTGATGTGGGATCATTTTCACCAGTATTGTTGCGCCCTGGGGTAGGAGATAAATCCCCACAGGGATAGTTGTTCCGTTCTCGTGCAGAGCCAAGATGCTGCAGAGCTGGACGGCTACATTTCAAGTCAAGTGGCCAGCACGGTTTTTTAAAAAGCCCTTTTCACTTTGTGGAACGTTCCAAGTTGACCCAGTAAAAATAGGCGCCTCAGGCCAAAAAATCATCAGCCTCTAATGGTCAGGCATCTAGGCTCCCAGAAGAGAACAGGCGTTCAGTGCCCCAAGCCGGCAAAATAGTCTTATCAACATAGGGAACGTTCTGAAAGCTGAATTCCCAGACTTGAGCCAGGCGCGTGGCTTGCTGTGTTAGCACTTGCCTGCCCACTACCTTTACTGGTGCTCTTTATTTCTTCGTGTGGGTTTGAGTTCCCATATTGTGTCCTTTCTTTCTTAGAGCGGAGCTCCAAGTTAGGTCAACAAGTGAGGATGGGGCTTTTGATGGAGGCCCAAAACACGTCAGCCCCTCAGGCTGCTGGGAGGCTGCCAGTTTTCACTGCTTATGGGCCAGAGTTGGGGAGCCGGTGGCTTGGGGTAGGGGGAGAAGAGGTGAGTAGCGCCAAGTGAAACACTACAGATTTGGCTCTTCTCACTGGTTCTTCTTGAATAAATGCTTCTTGATTCCTTGTATGCCTTTGGTTGATTTCCAAAGTCTTGAAAGGATAGATATTGATAATTTTGCCAGTATTTTCATTGCTTTCGTGGGGGAGATTTACTGAGATCCTCGCTGTCTTTCCAGAAGTCCTGCCTTAGGGCATTTCTCTTAAAACTACAGAAAAGTACAGAAAATCATCATTGTAACTAATACCTGTGTACTTACCTCCCAGAAGTAGCAAATGTCAATATTTTGATACTTGCTGGTGGTGTTTTCTTTAATAAAAGAAATAGAGGTTTACAAATAAAGGTCAAGGCCTCTTTTCCTTTCCTGAGGCCTGTTCCTCTCATTCACTCCCCAGGCAAACAGTATCATGAATTTGGTGACTATCCTTCTAATCGATGTTTTTATACTTGCAGTACATAGATTTGTATCTGTAATCATATAGTGTTCCTTTTGTAAATTTACCAGATTACTGGGCTTGAACTGTAAGGTTTTTTCTAAAACTTTCTTTCTGTATTCAGCGTTGCCCTTTGAGCTTCACCTCTGCTGATACATTACATTTAGTTCATTCATTTTAACTCTGGTATAGCATTCTAGCATCTGAGTATTGCAGTCCATCGATCCATACCTCCATTACTGGGAAATTTCATTGTTTATATTTATTGCCATTCTTGTACATGTATCCTGGCCCACACTTGCAGAATTTTCTCTGTGGTGTAACTACAAGTGTAAGACATAGTAGGGTATGTACATTTTTAACATTACTGGATGTTGTTTACCTTTCTTCTCTCCCATCCGTAGAATCAGTTTGCTTTGTATATTTAAGAATTCTGCATCTGTTTGGGGCGCCTGGCTGACCCAGTCAGTGGAGCATGTGACTCTCGATCTCAGGGTTGTAGGTTTGAGCCCCGTGTTACAAATAAAATCTTTAAAAAAAAGAGTTCTGCCTCTACTTAAGTGAAATTGCTTCGTAATATTCTCATATTCTGTTATTTGCTTTTGGCATCAAGATCATTCAGTTTTATATAACATAAGCATTGTTTTACCACCTGTGTTTTGGTTGTTAAGTACCAGGTACATCTCTTTCCATAATTTTATTTTCAACATTTCTCTCTCATTTTGCTCTAATTATCTTTGGAAAACATAAAGCTGATTTTGAAAAATACAATTTAATATGATTGACCTTTAACTAATGGGGTTAATATATATTTATTGTGCCATTACTATGTTAGTATTTCTTCTTTTCTTGTATTGTCTATATATCCTGCTTTTTCTTTACCTTTTTTTTTTTTAAAGACTTTATTTTAGAGAGAGCAAGAGAGCGAGCAGGGGTAGGGGCAGAGGGAGAGGGAGAGAATCTCAAGCAGACTCCATGCTGAGTGCGGAGCCCGACACGGGGCTCCACATGACCCGAGCCAAAATCAGGAGTCAGATACCCAACCTACTGAGCCACCCAGGTGCCCCTCTTTACCTCTTTCTTCCTGCCCTTATTGCATTTTTACACCCCTCCCCCTGACTTTTTCCCTTTGGTTATTTTCCTCCTGAAATATTCAAATATCAAGCATTATTGTTAGCCAGGCTTTGTGTGTGATAAATTCCCTGCCTTTTCTTGTCCAAAACCACTTTTATTTGTCACCTTTCTTTGTGATAATTTATCTGGGGATAGAGTTCTAAGATAACATCAAGCTTCTCTCAGGACTTCGAATACACTGTTTAATCTTTTGGCTTCTTTTATTGCTGATGAAGTCTGATGTTGATCTAATTGTTTCTTTGTAGGTGATTTAAAAAATTTCTCTATGGTAGCTTTCCATACTTAACTTTCTGACTTAAAAGTCTTGTGGTTCCACTAAACTATGTCCAGGTTCAGTTTCGCTTTTATTTACCACACTCAGGACTCTGGACATTCGGTGGTAGGATGTGTACCTTTCTTCCATCTAGAAAACTATCAGTCATTGTCTCTTCAAATACTGCCTAGCTCAGGGGTCCCTAAGACCACTACCATATTTAGAGATTTTCGAGAAGGACTCATGGGACTCTACATAGAGTTGTATCTATAGCTACGATTTATTAAAGCAGTGTAGTAAGGATAGTCTACTAGATCACAAGGGGAAAAGACACTAGCAGAGTCTGGACGAATCCATGTACAGGATTCCTTATGCTCTCGGGTCACACAGGGCACACTTCTCCCAACAGAGAAAATGCAACAACATGTGTGCCCAGGGAAGCCCCTTGGAAACTCAGTACCCTCGGTGGCTCTGCCTAGCACATACCAAAATTCCAGACTCACAGAAGGAAAGGAAATGTTCAGCATAAATCACATTGTTTGTACAAGCAGCCTTATCAGTTAGGGAATAGTGGAGACATTCCTGAACTCCAAATTCCCAGATGTCAGCCAGGGCCCAACCTTGCAGGCTAGACTTTCTAAGTATGGCAGTCTCAGGGCTGCTCTATGAATCCTTTTCTTGGCATAGTGCCCCTGTCCCTTTCTCTCTATTCTTTCCATTTGGATTTTCTATTAAACCTATGGTGGAACTTACATTTTTCTCTTTGTCTTAGCCTATTTCCATTTTGTTAGCTCTTTATGTTACATTCTGGGTGACTTCCTAAGGTCTGTCATCTGATTCATTAAATCTGTCTTTATCTGTGACTAGTCTGCTGTTCAACCTATTTAGAGTTTTAATAATATCTGTATTTTCTATTTATATGTTTCTTTTTTCAAATGTTCCCTTTTTTACCCCATAATATAGCTCTTACTCTCTTTCTTTGAATATTTGAAATTTTAAAGTCTAGATTTTTCTGTTAGCTGCAGTTCTAGGAATGGGGTATCTTTAAATGTATCTGCTGATTCTCTGTCAAGATGGTTCATTTCCTTGTGAGGTTTAAATTATTTTACTGTGAACTCTTCAGTGAGAATTGGTTTTCCATAGAAGTTCTGTGAGTCCTAAGCTATAAAAACATAAGAATATATCTTTTAGCGTTTGCCACTCCTAGGAACCTACGAATAACAGGACCAATTTTTATGTTAATTTTTCAGCTTGTGGGCTCTTTACTAAAACTGTGATATTTTCAGATTGAGTTACATTACTAGGCCTTTGCTTTCTTATATATTATATCTTTCTTTCCAGTTTCCTTGACCAGTGGGGAGTCTTTTTAGCTCCCCACTAACAAACATGGAAGCCCCTTGTGATTCCAGCTGTAAGTGGGAATTACATACCAGTTTCCTGAACATTTTTGCCCTGTGGTCTGGATTTCACTGCAAATCCTCAAACTTCAGTTTCTGTTCACCCCATCACTTTAAATTTCCACTTCACTTTTGACACCTAATACATTTCTTGGTTTTGAGCTTGACTATGTATTAAATTACTTTTGTTAAATATGGGCCAGCATTTCTTTGTGTTTACAGTCAGAGGAGGTGGTGCTAGTGAGGCATGGAGGGAGCCCATCCACATCAGCTCAAGTCCTACTGATAGGAGTTCACAGCAAGATGTTTATGAACTAATATTATCCCATAACATTATAGTAGAAATGTTTACAAGTTTGATGAGTTCTTTGCAATTTTTTATAGAATTCTGGCAAGTTGATGACCAGATAGACAACCACAAGGAAAGCCAAAACCAACTTCTGTGGCAAACTGCATTAGTAGACAAGGAAACACAGAAGGATCAAAGCGGCCAAGAATTCACAAGCTTCAGAAAAATCATTTATCCAAACACAGACTTTGTTTCTATAAGACAAAGACTCCCTAAATACTATTCCTGGGGAAGGTGTTCAAAACATAATTTAAACTTTCTTTGTCAAAATAGAAGCTATGTAAGAAAGAAAGATGATGAATGTCAGGCACATTGGAAATTATGCTTCCATTCTAATCTCAATAATGCTCAACCTGCAGAGAAATTTTTTGAGCCCAATCAACGTGGAAGAGCCCTCCACCAGAAGCAAGCACTTAATAAAACTCAAAGAATTCAAACTAGGGAGAAACTCTATGAGTGTTATGAATGTGGGAAAGTGTTTATCCAGAAAGCAAACCTTGTAGTACATCAGAGAACTCACACAGGAGAGAAGCCTTATGAATGCTTTGAATGTGCAAAAGCCTTCAGCCAGAAGTCAACCCTCATTGCTCACCAGAGAACTCACACAGGGGAGAAGCCCTATGAATGCAGCGAATGTGGAAAAACCTTTATCCAGAAGTCAACTCTGATTAAACACAAGCGAACTCACACAGCAGAGAAACCATTTGTATGTGGTGAATGTGCAAAAGCCTTTAAGAGTTCATATCACCTTATTAGACATGAGAAAACACACATTAGGCAAGCATTTTATGAAGGAATCCACTTTGGTAAGTCCAGCCTTATGCATCAAAGGACTCATAATGGTGAGAAACCTGAGTGTAATAAACATGGGAAACCCTTTGATGAGAAAGACAACCCCATTAAACACCAGAGATCTCACACAAAAGAGAAACTTTATGAGTGCAGTAAATGTGGGAAAAGCTTCAGGGGAAAGTCACACCTCTCTGTTCATCAGAGAATTCATACAGGGGAGAAGCCTTATGAATGCAGCATATGTGGGAAGACTTTCAGTGGGAAATCACACCTCTCTGTCCATCATAGAACTCATACAGGAGAGAAGCCTTATGAATGCAGAAGATGTGGAAAAGCGTTTGGTGAAAAGTCAACCCTTATTGTACATCACAGAACTCACACAGGAGAGAAACCCTATAAATGCAATGAGTGTGGGAAAGCCTTCAGCGAGAAGTCACCACTGATAAAACATCAGAGAATTCATACAGGGGAAAGGCCCTATGAATGCAGTAACTGTGGGAAAGCATTCAGTAGGAAGTCAACTCTCATTAAACATCAGAGAATCCACACAGGGGAAAAACCCTACAAATGCAGTGAATGTGGGAAAGCCTTTAGTGTGAAATCCACTCTCATTGTACATCACAGAACTCATACGGGAGAAAAACCCTATGAATGCAGGGACTGTGGAAAAGCCTTCAGTGGGAAGTCGACTCTCATTAAACATCAGAGAAGTCATACAGGAGATAAAACCTATTAAGATACTTGAGAGTGAGAGAATGTCACTATTCGTTATACCTCATTATGTATCACTTCATCCTGGGGAGTAACCTTATAAATGTCAAGAATGTCAGAAAGTCTTCAGGTATTATTTAATGTTCCTTTAATATAATAAATGGTACAAAAGCATAATTCCAGAAGCATGTAATAAATGTGATCAGTTTTTTACCCAGAATTCTTACCCACGAGTGGAAAATTGTACATCAGAGAATTTGGGGAAATGTTTGTGGTAATCTGTTAAGTGAAAAAACGGATTATAAAACAATATACCATATGGTTTACATTGTAAAAAAAAATAGGAAGGATAGGCACCATTGTATCAGTGATTCTGGGTGGTAGAAAAATGGCAACTTTATGATGAGTAAAATTGTATGCACATATATATTTGTGTTATATTTATATCTATTTTAGGTGTGTGTATGTAGGTAGGTAGAACAAAAAGCTAGGAAGGAAATATACCAAATTATTAAGCAAATTATCATTTGGGTGTTGGGAAATTGATTTTTAAATGTTTTGAGCATAGTCTCCAGAAACTACCAATAAATTGTTTAAAGTAATCCTGTGTATATTTGATTCTGTCTTCCCATCCATTTTCCCTTTCAGCTTTGTCTTTGGTTTTGAGAATGTATTTTGCATGTTGAGAATGGGTATCCTGTGATTTTAATATCTGTATGTGATTTTTTTATAAAAATAAAAATACCTCAGGGGGTGCCTGGGTGGCTCAGTCAGTTAAGCATCTGCCTTCGGGTCAGGTCATGATCCCAGGGTTCTGGGATCAAGCCCCGCATCGGGCTCCCTGCTCTGCGGCAAGCCTGCTTCTCCCTCTCCCACTCCCCCTGCTTGTGTTCCCTCTCTCGCTGTGTCTTCTTTCTGTCAAATAAATAAAATCTTTAAAAAATATAAATAAAAATAAATAAAAATACCTCCATAGTTCACCAAATCCTGTGACATAAGTTACCAGCTAACAGATTTTTACAAATGAGATGTAGTGAATGGTCAAAGATAACCACAAGTAACGAGACGAAACTGACTTCTGACACCAAATACAAAGCTCATTTCACTGTGGTATCTGTGAATGCTACTTGCTCACATTCCTTCCTTCTCTTCTTGTCCTATTATCAGCACTTGTATCGGGCACATCCCAGGTGACCCCAATGAATTGTGCCCTATATAATCCTCTCCCCTTGAGTGTGGGCAGAACTGAGACTTGCTTCTAGACAACAGATTATGGCGAAAATGAAGTGATGTCGCTCCTGTGAGTATGTCATATAAACTCCATCTTAGCAGACTGGAAAGAAACTTTCCTTGCTGGTCTGATGAGGTAAGCAGCCATGTGGAGGAAGCGCATGGGCCAAAGAACTGCAGCTGGCTTCTAGGACCTGTGGGAACCCTGAGCTAAGACAGTAGGACTGGAGTGGCAAAACCTTGGAGACAAGAGAAGTGAAGAAAAATAAGCCCAATAGAGCTTTTTCCCACAAGGAGCTGGTCGGTAAATGGTGTAAGATAAATTCAGAGATGCACAACAGCCAAGTGCCTGAGGTACCAAGGAGCACTTTCAGCAGAACCATGTACCAAGGTGATCAAACTTGGACTTCAGATCCCACCAGTGATGAAGGGCCCTGGTAAATGCCCCAAGACTCTCAGTTGGAATCTCTGAAGGACTTCAGGAATTAGGAGGAAGTAAATATAAACCAGAAAACCAGATCTTTAAAAGATTGATACCTCAGCTTGAATTAGCTCACTAACTGAATTAAGGTAATTTATATAACTGCCTGTCAGGAACTAGATAGAGCTCATCTAGAGTTTATACAATTTCTCACGCACTGTGGTATTCAACTGAAAATTGCCAAGCACACCCAGAGTCAAGTTAAGAAAAAAGTGGACAGCAGAAAGCAGACCCACAAGTAATTCAGGCATAGGAAACACAAGTCATGGTCTTTATTTTTTTAAAGATTTTATTTATTTGACAGCACAAGCAGGGGGAGCGGCAGGCAGAGGGAGAGGGAGAAGCAGGCCCTCCACTGAGCAGGGAGCCTGATGCAGGACTCAATCCCAGGACTCTGGGATTATGACCCGAGCCAAAGGCAGACGTCCAACTGACTGAGCCACCCAGGCGCCCCAAGTCATGGTCTTTAAAATAACTGAATAATATGAACAAGAAAATATAAAATGAAATTCTTAGGGAAATGCAAATTATTTCCAATAATTATTTACTTTTTGCCTACTGCTTTATTTTCCTGGAGTTTCTAATTGCCCCCCCCTTTTTTTTTCATTTTTCCAGGGTCACAAACATACCGTCCAATCTATGGAGGTTTTCTCTCTGGTATTAGAATTCAGGGTAGTTATTTATTTTTTTTAAAGATTTTATTTATTTTTTTGACAGAGAGAGACATAGCGAGAGCAGGAACACAAGCAGGGGGAGCGGGAGAGGAGAAGCAGGCTTCCCGCGGAGCAGGGAGCCCGATGCGGGGCTCAATCCCAGGACCCCGGGATCATGACCTGAGCCGAAGGCAGACGCTTAACGACTGAGCCACCCAGGCGCCCAGGGTAGTTATTACCTGAGGGGGATGGCTGAGAAAGGGCAGAGGGAGGAGCCTCAATGCAAGCTAGAAACTTTTCTCCAAAGAATAGTTCCTGCAGATGGTGTTGCTATACTCCCAAATCCTCATGGACTCTACTGTGACTCTCATACAGGGACCTTCCAGAGGCTCCATCCATCATTTCTACATGCCATAGTCTCGTCAAGCACCATATGATATGCTAGGTCATATAGCCCAAGAGACAGTGCACATAGTAGACCAGACCTATTTCAAAGTACATTCTTGCTCTGGGCCATACTAAAAATCAGCATTTTGTGTTATTCAGTAAATGGTCTGGAGCAGTGTGACAGAATGGGGTTTATGGTGTCTAACAGGGTCCAGCAGTGGTTCCTCAAAAGGAGTATCCTCGGGGCGCCTGGGTGGCTCAGTCGTTTAGTGTCTGCCTTCAGCTCAGGTCATGGTCCCAGGGTCCTGGGATCGAGCCCCGCGTGGGGCTCCCTGCTGGGCGGGAAGCCTGCTTCTCCCTTTCCCACTCCCCCTGCTTGTGCTCCCTCTCTCGCTGTGTCTCTCTTTGTCAAATAAATAAATAAAATCTTTAAAAAAAAAAAAAAAAAAAGGAGTATCCTCTCTTGCAGGTGCCACGGCCTCCCTCCAAAGTCTCAGGGACCTGAGTCTCACACTGCAACTTTTCCCACCACTGACACCCTTGACACCATAGGGTCAGCCAGATCATGGGTCCAAGCAATAAGCCTGCTTGTGCTACAGCCTGGGCTTGCTACGGTCTTTCCTGCCTTAGGCCCCCCTCAAAGCTGGCAGCCTTCTGTCACCCGGTACGTGGGCCAGAGAAGTACTTCTAGGTATGGAATACGTTCCCTCCAGATTCTGAAGAGGCCTGTATTTCTCTTTTGTGAAGTTAAACTTTGTATGTTTGAGCTTGTGGTAGTTTAAACCCATTATCCCATTATTCTAACTGGTTTCTGCAAGGGTCACAATGATGAATTAAACAGAGATATGATTAAGGACCACTAAATCCCCTGCATCCTTTAAGCCTTTACTAGTGGCACTGATCTCCATCATCCCCTAGGGTGCAATATTTGTTTCAGTTTACCATCTTGGTTGGTGGGGGAAGGAAAAAGCAAGAGCTTTCCATTTTGTTTTCCCCACTATGAAGGATCTTACTACACAGGCCAAGGACCCAACATGGACATTAATCCAACAGCTAAGACTGGGAAATGACCACTGGGCATGTCTGCAGATGCAGGGGGCCACTGTGAGTTGGACTTAAGCTAGGACTCAGCCCCCACACTAATAGGAGGGCCATGATGATGCTTTGAGTGTCTGGGTATTCATGTGAACTCAGAAAGCTATGTCCAGCAGTCCTAAAAACATCTGGGAATTCCCCCTTTTCTCAGTGTATAGTGACCCAAATAAATGGCCATAGGTTCGGGGGTGGGGGGACTAAGATGAGCAATATATACCTGCTACAGTGCTCTAGGGTCCTCCTTTGAGGGACGTGCGCACCTCTCCAATTGGTTCCAGGTCTGAAATTTGGCTCAGATCTGGGAACTGAGCAAGGGACCCTTACTTTTTAATGAAGCAATTGCCCTCGGACTCCTGCTCCTTGAATTTTGCCCTTTTCCGATCATAATGTTAACAGCATTCCTACTGACTTCCCAACAGTTTTACTTCTAGGGATGCCAGGCTTATCAGCAGAGTCAATACAGATGAGGAAAACTTAATGAGCTTGAGGGATAGTATTTAGGCTTTGCCATTTAATATGATGTTGGCTGTGGGTTTTTGTAGATGTCTTTTTAAAGATTTTATTTTTAAGTAATCTCTACACCCAGCATGGGGCTGGAACCCACAACCCCAAGATCAAGAGTCACGTGCTCCACTGACTGACCCAGCCAGGGACCTCTGTAAATGTCTTTTAATAGTTTGGGGAAGTTCCTTTCTACTTCTAGTTTACTGAGGTTTTTTGTTTTTTTTTTTATCATGACTGTATATTAATTTTATCATGTTATTTTCCTGTAACCATTGAGATGATGTTTTCCCTTTATTAATGTATTCAGTTAACATTGAATTCTGAATGTTAAACTTGTGTTCATTTTCATGTATTCTTGGATTCCAGCTGCTAATATTTTAAGGGTTTTTGTATCAGTCTTCATGAGGGTTATTAGTCTGTACTTATCTTTTCCTGTAATTTCTTGGTCCAATTCTGGTGTCAGGGTAATGTTGTGTGAAAAATTCACTGGGAATTATTTCTTCCTAATTTTCTTCAAGAGTTTGTATAGGATTGATACTATATCACTGTAAAGGTCTTGGAGGACAGTCTTCATGAGACCACCCTCACTTCTGACGCTAGTTGAAAGTTCAGGGGTTCCCAGGGTCACTGAATACCGAAGTTCAATAATTATATAGAAGGACTCACAGAATTCACTAAAAGTTGTTACACTTATGATTATGGTTTGGCATATCTGAAGGATACAGACTAATACCAGCCCAGGGAAGAGATACATAGGGCAAAGTCCAGGGAAGTACCAAACGTGGAGCTTCCAGTTCTGTCCCTGTGGAGTCCTGGACAGTGTTACTTTCCTGGCATTGATGTCTAGCAATAGGCACAGAGTACTGCCATCCAGGGAAACTCACCTGAGCCTTGGTGTTCAGAGCTTTATTGGGGCTCTGTCACATGAGCATAGTTCACTGCCCACATGGCCAATCAGTCTCCAGGCCCTCAGGAGGCTGAGCTGATACATGACCCAAAGGCCACACCCTAAAATATGTTGTTGGTGTGGCTCAAAGCTCCTACCCTAAATCATGGTGTTACTATCTGCCTGGCCCAAGGCACCCAAACAAATAAAAGCACGCCTATGGGGCCTGACAATCCAAGAGTTTAGAGATTACCTCCCAGGAGGCAAGGGCATAGACCAGACCTTTCTTTGGGCAAGGTTCAATTCTTTACTGTACAATCATCCTTAAATGTAGCTAAGATTCACCACTGAGATTATCTGGGCCCT